CCCCCAGTCCTGAATATTTGTTTCCATTCTTGTAAATGCTACATGTAAATGGTAACTGGGTAGGCAGACAAACAGTTCCAGTTGTAAATAAACAAAATAAGCATTATGTGAAATGAAATGCCACAAATATCCCACAAATAAATACACATATGCCTAACAATTGGTACATATCCTCCAAAAGTAGGCTAAACACTTAATAACTGTTACATATAATGGGAATGGTGGTCAAAGACGCACACATACACACATATTCACTCACACACACACACCTGTGCAAAAAACCAAACACATCTGGACAACATAAAAAAAAATTAATGATTTGGGCCCTTGCTTCTCTCATAAAAAATATTTCTCTCTATCTGTCTGTTACATTCCTACTTTTGCCCTTTCAACATCTGAAATGTAAAATAAAAAGTTATTGAACAAATATTTAACAAAAAAGAAATAAAATAAGCAAATATATCCACAATTAGTGATGGATTCAGTCGCTAAACCACAAACAGCTTCTTTGAAGTCATAATTACAAATTTATGTAATAACAATAAAGAAACAAAATAATTTTTGGCCTTATATAAATGTGTGTACATGTAAAATATACATGAAATTGGTCACAAAACCATAATATAACAATCTTTTATGTATTTAGTTACTATTTAAGGAAAAAGAAATATTGTATAAAAGCAATCTATATAGATTTTAGATTTTCATAAAGTACTGAACTGAACCATTTGTGCGTCCATTCCTGTTCTTATCCCAAACTTCACTAAACAAATATTGAAAAGTTTGGGGTTGGTAAGATTTTTTAATGTCACATGATCCTTCAGATATTAATCTGATATGCTGATTTGGTACATTTCTTATTATCTATGTTGAAAACTGTTGTGTAAACAGTGACCTTTTTCAGAATTCTTTGATGAATAAAAAGTTTAAAAGAACAGCATTTATATGAAATAATCTTTTGTAACAATGTAAAAATCTTTACTGTCACCTTTGACTAAAAGTAGTAATTTCTTTCAACAAAAAAAAAAATCTTACCGACCCACATACTTACATTAGTATACACAGAATCATGAGCCATATATTTATATAAATTGGTTATAGAGATCTAAAATTAACAACGGAAGGACAAAACACAAACTCAAGAACTTGCCATGGGTGTCAGTCACTCATATGAGCATTGACAGTGGTCACACATGGACGGCTAGAATAAAAATAAAACAATGGCTGTATTCAGAGGCCTGGCCTCACCGTCACACAATACACCTGTAGCAGACTCCTCTGGGGTGAAGTGTGAAGGGAGGTCAGCCGAGGCCCATACAGGAGGCACGGGTCCCCTGCGTTTGTGCTACATGTCCAGCAGAAGAGGAAATGTGTCACACGGCGTTGGTGATGACAATTGTGTCTCTCTGAGGGCCGCTGGACCCTGAAGCCTCAGGGGTAACGCTCTTTAGCAGACGCTACAGGGGTAATCAGTGAGATTTTTGGAGTGGTGCAGAGTGGCACAAAGGTGAAAACTGTGAAAACATTTAAGCTACAGGAGGGTTTTACAGTAAGTCGAACAGCTCAACTACAAAGAAATATCTTAGAGATTGCCTATAAATTAATCAACAGATTTCAAAATGCACTAAGTGATATGTTGCAACTTTTTTCAGTAAAATACTGAACAGCTCTGGGCTAAATCTCTCCTCTACGAGACACATAATTACTCACCCAAAACCTGACATGCTAAAGGCACTGGTAGTTACATCACAGAATCAACAAAGGTTAACCTTGTGGCATTTTTCATCATTTGCCAAACACACATCCTGTGACTAAAGCACACACACTCTCAGTGCCCCTGTATGGATGTACAGAGTGACCGACAGCCATGTGCCTTGACGCCCTTTGATGTCTATCTTCATGTCTCAAACTGAGAAAATTTGCAATGTGATCAAGCTGATGCGTTGCAGCATAATTGTGTTTGTGCTGCTGTAATGCGTTTAAGTGTCATTATTATGTCTGTCTCACTTATTAGACCTGACAAGATACATTAAAGTATGTGTTTTGAAGTTTTTGTCTGTCTAGGCTCACCTGTTTGAAGGTCCCTTTGGTGGTGACTAGATGGTAGACCATGTAAGAAGGCACACAGATGAATGAGGAGACTCCAATACAGTAGCCGAGAACTGTGGTCCAGAAAGGGTACAGGTAGTCAAACAGCCTCACATCGGGAGGGAATGCCAGGAAACTCCCAATAATGAACTAGACAATGAGAAAAAATTCACAAAACTGTAGTTGCATATCTGACAAGCTGAGATCTGTCAACAGATGACAAATGTATGTATGATGTTTGTCTGAGACTTTAAAGGGATAGTTCAGCCCCAAATTAAAAAGCTGTCATCATTTACTCAACCTCACATTGTTCCAAACCTGTTCTTTTGTGTTCCTCAGAAGAAAGTCATACATGAGAAAATGATGACAGAATTTTAATTTTTGGGCCAACTGTCCCTTTCAGTGTATTTGCATGTAAATGCACTTTGTGGACTGGGTTTCTGTAACTCAGACAGCATACATATCAAAATCATGGCTATGAATCCCATTAAATGCATGACCTTATAAAACGTATACCTTGAATGCAATATAAGTTGTTTTGGTAAGTCACCAAATGCATAAATGTAATGTAATGGACTGACCAATAGGAAGCAGGGACAGATGGCTACCCAGCAGACCCTCCAAAACACACCAGGAGCAAAGCCAAGCATCAGCTGCACGTCGTTGCAGAAACGTGTTGTCCCTGCACGTATTTTACAAACAGATTTAGTGCACATTGCCTGAAGCAGCATATCGGATTACGAAACTATTGAAGCACATGATAAAAATCTTGGGACTTATAGATGGTAGTTGAATAAGAAAGAACAGATGGACAACAGCAGAGTATAAAGTGACAGAAGTAGAAACAGTTTTATAGTTGGACATTATGACTTCTCTCCCTGTAGTAGTGAATAAAAATGAGATTTTCATAGACTCGCAGGAATTAGGCTAAAGGGTGCACAGTCCAAAATAAAGAAATATAAATGCTAGGAAGTTCACCAGTGATGTTCAGAATTTTTAGGGAGTTGAGGAACTGTTATACAAATATTGACATATCAACATTGACACATCACATTTTCTGGCTCCACCCCAAAAGCCTCTAAAGGACCATCTTGTCAAGACAATTCATTAAGAAACTACATAGGCGTTTGTTTGCTTCGTCAAACCAACATGGATACTGACCAGCAGCACAATCAAAAGTAATTAAAGTTATATTTTGAAAGATTAAGCGGGAATCCAATACGTACCATAGAACCAGGAAACAGCAATGACCTCAAGGAAGACTACGGTGATAACAGCAGGGCCTGTGGCATACTCCTCAAATAGTTTAACAACAAACGCACCTCCCTACAAACACATTGCCTCCGTATTAAAAGGAATAATTAATGTGCACACTTTGGAAAATGGCATGTTATTTTGGTAAACTTCCAAATTTGGTCTCTGGACAGTGTTTAAAGGTTGTTGTTAGAACTGAAGGAAAATCCCCCAAAGCAAAACAAAATATTTGTTAGTGGTGCTATTAGACTTACGTAGGTAAGAGTGGAGAGGGCGCCCAAATAACAGACGCACACTAGGCCGAGCACAAACCATTCTCTCCTCCTGGCCAACAGGTGGGGGAACTCATCCAACATGGCTGTAATTACCCCTTCCAGACCTGCAAACTTTAGTGTGCAAACACACACAAGAGAGGCAGGAGATGACAGAAAAGTAGGTCAAGGACCTACTGAACCTGTACGGGCATTAACAATGCTCCTTACGGTAAATATAGCAGCACTAACTCAGTGACTTTTGACAGGGATAAAAATTATAATGTAACTGAAATAGATTACATATGGAGTTATGTCATTAGCAGACTGCATTAAGCCATGCCTAACATGACTTGATTGTGTGTGTGGTCAGCATAAGAACAGGAATGGGTTAACTATGCACGCTGAAGACCTAATGTAATGAAACACTGTTGACAATACATTTTACTAAATTCAAAAACAATAAGCTGAGTAAACAGAGGGAAAAATCAAATTCATTAAGAGAGAATTCATTGGCTAGTATTTCAAGAAAGCAAGAAAGACTGACCGTGCTATCCAACCCCAGCATAATTATCATGAGAAAGAATATGATGGCGAAGAACGTAGCAGCCGGCATATTGGCAATAGCCTCAGCATAGATGATGAAGAGCAGACTGGGACCTTAGAACACATCCATTCAATTAGAACAGGTAAATCAAATGTCATTTTAGTGTAAACAGCCATATCACATTGTAGTTTCAATGCAATGATTTGCAATTGATTAATTTGATATCAAGGTTTAAACAATAATTCTAAATTCTCGAATTGGTACTTAATTCAATGGAAATGGCAACCGTAAATCAAAAATAAAGAAATTAGGTAGAAATGAAATGCGGTGCTTACCAGCATCTTTAGCTACAGTCTCCACACCTTGTTGGCGCATCTCTGCCATGTAGCCCAACACGGTGAAGATCACAAAGCCTGACAGGAAACTAGTCAAACAGTTCACTGAGCTTGTGACCAATGCATCTCTGCAAATCAAAGAGAGATGTAAAGATTTGAGCTAAAAGAAAAAGGATAAGAAGATAAACAGCTTAAATGGGGAGCGACAGAGAAAAGGGGTAATAGAACATACAACTAGATTTTTATAAAAGTGGTGATTGTTATGCAGTTGCTGGGGTGTTTGATGTGGTTGCTAAGAACTTTCTATAGTGTTCTCAGTGGTTGCCAGGGCATTACTATGGTGTTCAGTAAAGGTTGCTAGGTGGTTTCTGACAGCACCAAGTCAACAGAGTCCACCTCCAAGTCTCTATGATATTCTGGTTCTCACATAAGTCTAGATATTTTTTTCACACTTGTTTTATCGTAAATAAGGTTGCTTAGAGAAGTAATAGCACTCCTTTCCTCAACAAATCTTATGATTCATGGTATCATTTTGGCTATAGCCTGAACAATGCTGGAAGAGTTATGTGCCAAAGTGTAATACTTTGGGTTAGGCCAACTTCAAACTTGCACAGAAACACATGCAAAAAGATGCAGGGAATAAAGTGTGAATAAAGTTCACATTTTAAGCTCAAGTTTGTGATAATAGAACCTTAGTGCAGATAATAGAAAATGACAGCAGTATAAATGTGAGCCAGGTGTACTTGTAGCAGTTGTTATGAAAGGGATTGTAGCTGGCAAAGGCCAGGAGAACACCAAAGCCTGGACCCAAAGAGAAGAAGATCTGCGCAGCTGCATCAAGCCAAACCTGAAAAAACACAGATGGAGTGATTTGTCTGTAAAGATCTTCATTCATCCATATCATACCAGACAGATGGCAAGAAATATGCATTATAGGGGAAAAAGGGACACAGCAACCAACACGGATTGTGCAATATCTTAGTATTCAGAATGGTTGATTTAGTTTCCACTCACTGAAGTGGTTAAAAGTTTTCTCCAATCAGGTTTCAGGTAGAAGACCACTCCTCTCCATGCTCCCGGCAGGGTGGCCCCTCTTATCAACAGGATCAGCAACACCAGGTACGGAAAAGTAGCCGTCACCCACACTACCTGCCAGAGAGAGTTATGAAGAAGCTGCTAAAAAAAGAGTCTAACTGTGCGACTTCTTAACAACAGTTTGAACTTAAAGTTGCTAGTTATTTCTCTTTGATGTTTCCTGTATATCTTACCTTGCCGGAGGTCTTGACCCCCTTCCAGATGCTGAAGTAGACAACAGTGAAGATGAACAACAGACAGAGGGCTAGCTGCCAACTCACCCAGCCCAGCTGATGAAGACCAGGGGACAGATGAACCTGCAAGACCTGCCGTCTAAGGACACGAGAGAAGTTGGTTGACAGTTCATAAAGGCAGACATAAAGGCCTGTAGAAGCTACTATTGGAAGATAAAGGTGTCATAGAATAGTAAAATATAAGCCTTGAATCTTAGTGAATAGAAAAGGACTGATAAGTGCAGGACAGTTAGATAAGAACAAGGAGCAACATTTATATGGAAAACAGGAAATCCCGGCGGCACATATAAAAACTCGGGAGCACAATTAACTAAATAAGATCCCTAAATCTCTCCTAAAGTAGCGGATAAACAGATTCAATCCCCCCTGCATCTTTCGAGAGAGAGTAACACATTCTCTTTAAATCACAAGAGTCTCTCAATGGTTCAAGAAGCCTAGTGAATGCGAAGTCCTTAGTTTCAACCTGGACTTGCACTTACACGCACTTACATGCACTTACATATAGAACTCTTCAGCGGGAGAGATGGAGTTGTCAGTCCAGGAGACATTCAAGTCGGTGGACAGGTAGTGGGTGCAGTTGGGAGTGTTCCACTTGTTGTTGCAGGTGGTCCAGGGCAGCGTGGCACGAAAGGAGGACAGGAGGTAGTAGAGTGCCCAGGCCATTATGGTATTGTAGTAGAAGGCAATGTAGAGTGCAATGATGCAGATGGCAAAGCCTATACCTGCAAAAGAATATGAAACACTTGTTATGCAAATATCTTACTCCGTTTCTAGCACCTTCCACTTTGGGAGAGTGGGTGACATTTAGGACAAAGTTCCATTTACATAAAATCAAGTTTCTTAAGCAGCTGGCATTTTACCAGGTAAATGTGACAATTTCCATAACAGAGTCCTGGTTATCAACAAAGAGAGAGCGGAATCGGTAAGAAGTTTAGAAGAAGGTCAAGGGAGAGTGTACTATCAGCCCAGCACATGTCAGTCTGCTGTTATCTGTCTGACCCTTAACCTGGGAACTTGGTCTCAGAAGTCTGAGCCTTGTGAAGCAGACCAGTTTTACCCTTGAAGATGGGGCAGATGTGTTTCCAGATGGAGATACACCCGCTGCGGTGAAACTGGCCCAAAGCCAGTTCCATGTAGAACAGCGGCACGCCACCAAACACAGCCATCAGCAGGTACGGCAGAAGGAAGGCACCTAAACACAAGGATTTAGACAGGAATTGCATCTTGAACTTCACGGTTCCATTGCAGTGGTCTTAACACATCCTGAATGCACTATTATACTTACAAAAACAGCATAAAAGACGCTAACATACACAAAAAGTTCCTGTTCAGACAAGCTCCCGGGTTCTTGATTAAAGCTTTATACAAGAGCTTTTGACGTAAATGCTAGATAGCTGTTGACTGAGCAGTAGCAAGCCAGATTATTAAACAATATGTGCAAGTCCCACCCATGAGAGCCACAATTAATGGTGTTGGTTGCAGCGAGTGTCTCCCTGCCCACTATATCTCTCATGCAGTCCCTTTGCATGGTGGAACAGGAAATTACAAAGATTTTATTACTTGAAATTCAATGAAAGGAGACTAAAGCCTGTTTGAACTGACGAGGCGAGCTCGATCGTACAAAGAGTGGAGACAATAGCAGAATTCCCCATTGTCTGTTTGTTCTTAAGCAAACATCACCTAGTTGATCTTGTCTCAAAGACTGAAATCTTTCTTTCAATGGGATGCAACACAATATTTGCTTAACTCCTTTAAAGTGCATCACACTTATCTGTCTCAGAGTTGCCTGCAGCTTTAGTATCACTATTGCCTTGTATGTTCTGACCTCCTCACGTTTGACCTTACCCCCTCCGTTTTGGTAGCAGATGTAGGGAAAGCGCCACACATTGCCCAGGTCCACTGCATACCCGATCACCGACAGCAAGAAGTCCATCTTTTTGCTCCAGGTCTCCCTAGGTGGATCCAAGCTGGTCTGCTGGACCACCAGAGTCCTGAATGCCCCAGGGGTGCTGCCCCTGTCCGTCCCAGCACCTGCACCTTCCCTGGGGCTTTGTGGGGATGTGCTGGGATAACCGTTGGAGACCTGCCCAGGCCCGGAGCAGGATTTCTGACCCTTCTCCTCAACGCTGTCCGCAACCAGCCTTCCATTTTCTTGTGACTCCTGTTCTTTCTCCTGCTCTCCCCCATTCTCTCGGTTCATCATCATTGGTTGTTTCATCTCCATGGTGAGGACTGCTGTTAGGGTTGAGACGGTGGTCCTCTTGCACTGTCTGATATTGTGCCCATGAGGGGATAGAGAGTCTGGAGAAGACAGGTCGGGTTTGGAACAAAGCGGGCTGGGATGGAGGGAGCAAGGAGAGTGTGACTGGTCCTTAGCCTGTACGTTTTAACAAGCTCAGGTGGGAAAACAAGGAAACACCGCTCAGGCCCAGCTGCAGAACAAAGAGAGGGGAATTTCAGAAGGCGCTGGAGGGAATTTAATTTAGTAGGGATTTACCCGTCATTCTCATACAAAGTGTTCTTGAGAAGTGACAGACCATATGTTGTTTTGAAAGATATCTGTAGATTTTGATTAAATATGCCCTTACAACATGGGGTTAAAGCTGTAAAATGCTAAATGAACTCTGTACATGCCACAGCAACATTAAGCCTTAGGGAGCTGCCAAGACACTTATTTATTCTCATTTTCCCAAAGACTGTACCCGATGTTACACACAGAAGCATTAGATTAAAAAAAACATACACTTAAGTCAGCCTTTACACTAATTTAAGCTGATCTTATACACATTTATGGTACATTTACATTTAAGAGTGAGAGTTAAGTAATACTAAACATTAAAAGACATGTTAAACAAACACATGCAAGGAATGAAAGACTATGTACAACTTTTATTTCAGGACAGAAATAAAGGATCAAACAAGTTTAACACTTGTTGATCAATACACCATTAAACATTACCAATAAATTACACTGTGTTTTAAAAAAGTCTACTTCAGCATTCAAAATTAGCTGGAGGGCAAGTTACTTCCAGTTACAGCCTTACTTTCCACCTAGCATTCTGAGAAAGCTGTTTGTAATACTAATTACTAGTTGAAGTTGAGGGGCAGTGATGCAGGTGGGTGCAGCAACCAGAGTGAGAAGATATTAAGCAACTAATATTCATCACAACATAATGATCATAATAATGTCAGGAATAATTGAGAGGGGAATACAATTTTTTTCCCTGCTTGCCTTTTCCTCATACTATTTCATAATTCTAAACAGCTAAGGCATTTCATTTAATTTCCATCAGGGGATATTTTTACCGCCAAAAATGTTTATTATTTATTCAAAGTGAATCATTTGTTCCTTTAAAACACATTTATAAAATGTAAAATACTATTAATGATTTTAAGATGGCTGAGGAGAAGGTGATATGGGAAAATGTCAATGATACAAGCGAAATGTTAAAATGTTTGCACATATCCAGCATGGCAACTTATCAATACAATTCATTTGTAAGTAAAAGTAGATTTGTCAAACATGAGTCCATATAGGAAAATTATGCACAAGCACTTTTTTATGTGGAATTATTGAAAGAGTTAATAAAAAAAAATAAGGAGAAGCAAAAGTTAAATTATCATGCCATATTATCAATCATTTGTAAAAGTTAACACAAAATGTTTTACCACCACATACCCTTCTCATCGCGTCACAAGAAGACAAGATAAAAGACTTGCACATTTTTATTTGATTTTTTTTATTTTTAATACTTACAAAAGAATTACAAGTTTTATCTAGGATGTTTTTCTGGACAAAGATGATCTGATTGGCAAACTGCCTGATTTTTATTATTTACAGCCCTATCTCTTTCTACTTTCTGTCTGTTTTTCCTTGCAAACACTAAATCAACCCACAAATCTGCTCTCTATTATACACACTAAATCAACCCTCTTAATACTGAGCATCTTGGACACCTCGGCTAAATTTTTGTCCATAACCACAGATAATAGCGAGGTCAAGATCAGTGCAGCTGTGTTATGGTAAGAGTTTGTTCAGTTACCAGGATCACAAGATTACTGGAATATCACGCTAAATGTGTTTAAAATAACTTATTACTCCACTATCTTCATTATTACACATCTGATACACATAAATGCCAAATTAAATAAAATTAATACGAATAGTTTTATAACCAATAGATATTGAGATAAAACACTTCCAGTCCCATTATAGCATCATTAGACCCATTAAAATGAGCTGAGTTCTTCAGGGTTCTCAAAATCCTCCACTACAGCAGAACTAGACTTCCATATTTTAATGAACTGAAAATATCTGTTAAAGTACAACTTTAACAACATAAAACTGTTGACAACGAATCTATGGCATACATAGAAACATCAAAATGCCTCCTGTTACACATGCAGGCGCGTACAGACACACACAAGCAAAGACTTGCAACCCAAACTCGCTTCATTAACACACACGGAGCCACAAACACCATGCACAGTGCAACCCTACCGTGCTGCAGTTGATCAGTTCTGTGGGGGTCTGTGTTAGGGTGGTGACCAACACCGTCCCTGGGAGCCTGGCGCTCAAGACACACCCCCTTCACCCCTGCTCGCTCTCTTTCTCTCTCTCACTCAGTCTTCCTCCACTTTTTCTTTTACCATAGTCTTTAACTTGCTTTGTGGAAGTTACCCTAAGGCACTTCACATGTAGTCACACAGAAGTAAGCTCAATGATATAATTATGACCCCTGCTACCAAACATCTGTCCATGGAAAACACAAGCGGCATGAATGGAGAGTGCAAGCCCTCGTCACATGCGCATCCACATACTATTTATTTGTGTCAAAGGAGGCCTGACCTATATTCTCAAAATCCCACTAAGATATTTGACTTACCCATAGGATCTCAAATAATCGGCAGGTTTAAGAGAGACTGCCTATTAGTTTAAAAGAATCGCTGATACCCTAATAGACATGCCAGTCAAAATTTTGGACACACCTACTGACTCTAAAGTCATCAAAATTATGAAAACCCCCCACAAAATTCTAAACAAATCAGATGTATTTAATGGTATTGAATGTGTTTCTGTGTTAAGCACTTGTTGCCTGTTTATCCTTAATTATCCAGTCCAACTCACACACACATAAACAAATAAATAAATAAATAAAAATAGCAAATAAACGTATTTCTATCTATCTATACACACACACACACACACACATATGTATATATAGGTAACCATATATATACAGTGGGTACGGAAAGTATTCAGACCCCCTTCAATTTTTCACTCTTTGTTATATTGCAGCCAT